TGGGGGCTGTAAATTTCATGGATGCCTCTAAAATTTAGGTCAAGAGTGTTCATAAAGGACCACACAAAAGGTCCCCTCACTAAAAGACAAAGTGTAAGCTGTCCAAGGAAGGAAGCAGAAATCTGGACCGATGATCGACCCGCCTGGTCGATCTAGTGGTCGATCGGAGCTGAAACGAGTGGCCTTGGTCGAGCTGGTGGTCGATCTGAGCTGAAACGAGTGGCCTTGGTTGATCTGGTGGTCGATCTGAGCTGAAACGAGTGGCCTTGGTCGATCTCAGGCTGAAACGACTTGGATGGTCGATCTGAGGCTCGATCTCAGCCTACTTCTTTTTGGCCGAACTCTTTCTTGACTCCCAGCAACTCCTAAGCTCTTCTTTTGACTCCTTGTCCATGCTCAGCATCCAACACAGCTCCATGTACACCATATTACCTAAAAACAATGCATATATGCAAGAAATATGCAAATGCTAATGCAAACATGTCTAAAACCTAAAATGGAGCAACAGTTACAAATAATCTAAATATGAATGCAATATGAATGCAAAATCTATCCTAAATGAGTGCTAAAATATGCTAAATTATGAGTTTATCAAGAAGCTCTCTTCTTCAGTGACTATGGCATTGCAGAACTCCTTGGGGTTGGCTTCTGGTTTTCCAGGAAAGTGTCCTTGAGGTTTTGGACCAGCTATGCCTTTGTTGTTCTCCAGTGTTTTGACTCTTGCAGCCAACCCTTCGAACTTGTTGGTTACTTCAACATGTACTGAGTCTATTTTGTTACGAACCTCAGCAAACCTCTTGCTCAATTCCAAGTTGTTGGTAGTCTGATTCTGTAGCAACTACTGAACCATTGTCTTGAGCTCAGGATCTTGAGAGCTGGAAGAAGCTTGTGCTGGAGCTTGTGCACTGAATCCTGGAGGATGATAAGGCGCTCTTGGCTGGAAATTGTTGTTTCTCTGCTGAAAACCTTGATTGTTGTAGGGAACAAAAAGTCTTGGAGCAGCTTGCTGTTGTTGTTGTGGTGGGTACACTTGATCTTGTGGATTTGCAACATTGTTGCTTTTGTATGACAAGTTGGGATTAGGTCTGTAGTTCCTATATCCATTGTATCCACCTTGATTGCCCAAAAGCTGAACCATGTCACCAACAAAGTGGACTTCTTTCTTCTCCCTTAGAAGCATATCCAGCTTCTCATGTAAGGCCTTAATCTCTACCCTGCTAGACTCCAGTTCATCTTTAGCACTTCTTGGACCTCTGTCATATTCCTCATTATAGTTTCCATCAGACTGAGCTAGATTCTCAACAATCACATAATAGTTCATAACACTCCCCCTTGATGTTCATTATACAAACTATTCTTAAAACGCGTAGGATACTGCCTCGTTAAAAACATTGCTAGGAAAACCCAATGGGAAAAACCATAGCTAAGGGAAAAAGAGTGCAACGCGCATTAACTCCCACTCATGACTACATCACTTGAAATCTTTGAGATGGTGCAATCCAGTATGGTGAAATAACTTCTTGAAAGTAACGCCTTGGTAAATCTGTTTGTCGAATCTTCACTTGTATGAATTTGTAGGATACATACGTCGCCATTCTTTCGCAATGCATGACTCTTGATAATGATTCGTCATGCTTGTTCTCTTTACTTGATCTTATTAAAGTATAACAAATACTTTGGAGGGGTGGTAAACTTTCATCTTTATATTTCTCTTTAGATTCTTTGTTGCCTCATTAAAACCTTTCACAGAAAGACCCAATGGGATAAAAACATGATAAGAAAAAAGAGTACAAGCACACACATCATCATATTTCTCCCCCTTGGAAGTATCTTCTTCACGAGATGCATTCCAATCATATATATCATCTTTTGGCAATCATTATAAGTATACGCTTAATGAATAAACTCATATGTTTATCTTATAATCTCTTAGATCATTGGACTTCTAGTCCATAACAACTTTTCATATAAACAACCATTTCTTGGTATTTTGAACTTTAAGTCCAAACTTCATTATACTTGCATCATTTTAATCTTATATGGAACATACCTATACATAAGATGTTATTCATGCTCTTCTTTACTATTTTAACTTTCTTTCTTGTTATACTAAATCACATCTTTCAATCATGAAATAGACAAATACATTGTTCAACTAGTAATTGGAGTATTGTACTTCAGAATCAAAAATATTGTGAGCAATCTTTATGTAAAATCCTACAAGGATCTTTTGAGATAGTATCTCTATCACTTAGACGTTTCAATTTGGAACACTTGAAGAAAATGTCGTCTTTTCTAATGATTTTTCTTCCAAATTATAATTTGGGATAACTCTTCAAGAAATTTGGTTATATTCAAATTTATGATCCTCTTGATCATACTCTTTTGGTAAATACATATGGTTATATTGGTTAACCTTATAATATTCACTTATACCACATGAAACATTTTTATCTTAGTTTGATCGAATAATTAGAATCTTCAGAAAAATAATTTTGACAATCTTAATCCTTCGGAAATTTGTATCCTTCAAGGATATTATCCTTCTGGGATTTTTATTTAAGTATCATTATCCAGAGGGTACTATAAGTCAAGTTCTTCTCTTATTGTCAGACTGATAAGGAACTTGAAACTAGTTGCATCCACCACAAAAGAGTTTGTCTCTTCATAGTCAATTTCATATTTATCATTCTTTCATATAAATTTTCTTTATATCCCACTGGTTTTACACCCTTACATGTATGGACAACTGGTCCATATATTCATCTCTTTCCAAGAGATTTTAACTCTATGACTATTACTTTTTTTTTAATAATTTGGTCAATCATTTGTTTGTGTAGACTTTGCAATAGATTTCATGATCCTCTTTCTCCTTTATCAACTGCTACACTGCATGCAAAAATATTTATGACGTCGTTTTGTTTTTTGGTTCCATTTTATTCCACACATGACAGAACTTGTTAAGATTGATCTCTTTATTGTCTCAGGTACCTGACTTAATTTCTTGTCATGTTTAATGTCTCGTCTTGAGATCATTCAAAAATCTATCTCCTCGGTCTAACCATTGTCAATTTTTGCTCCTCTTTATTTTATGAGGATTCTTATGCTTGAAACCAATAAGTCTATCACACTTCATGCGTTCTTTAGACTCTTTAGAAGCTTGATATTGTCCTTTTGTAACATTAAATTTTTCTGGAGCCTTTATAGCTGGTATGTGATCTTGTCACTCTATTTGGATCAGTAAATGTTTCTGGCAACTGATTTATTAAACTTTGTAAATGAATTATCTTTTGAACTTTTAATTCACATTCTTTAGCCTGAGGATCAATGATAATTCATTCCAACTTATCTTTTCCAGTTGTTTCTTTTCTCCTCCTGATGTTGGAATTACTGACATATTAAAATGATAGTCTACCAATCGAGCCTAATATAAATCCTTCATGGATGGACTCTACATTCTTAATTATCAATGGAGATTTATATCTAAAATATATTCTCAACCTCATTTGAGGATCCATCTTATATTGTGATGGAGCAATGTGGATATATATTGCACATCCAAATCATTTAGATGGAAAATATTTGGTTTCTGACCCAAAACTAGATTTGATGGGAGAACTTTGATTACTTGTTGGCTTTATGCAAATTAATACTTCTGGATTTTGTGTATGAACATTTGCTATTAGATGTTCAATATTCATCTTTATGCTTTTATCAACAAAGGCTTAATATGTGAATTCAATAACATTACCAAGAGGTCTAGCAAACTTCAAGTTGCAGATATTCAATATAATAAATTACTAACCATAAACTTTTCCTAGTAAACTTTCTAGGTGATGAAATAGATTTCAAATCTATTTTGGCTACTGAAACTCATAATATCATATTTGTCATATGATTAAATCATTAGGAAAAATCTTCAAGTTCTTCAATGAATGTCTATAGACCTATTAATTATTTCCACAAATTTTTTGAACCGAATGGTCTAACCAGCTCATGCCAAACTATGTTATATTCCTTAAACTTCTGGTTTATTACATAATATTTATCACCATTATACAATCTTTATATATTACAATCTATTAGAAAGTGTATGTAATTTCTCTAAAATACTTTTACTGCATTTAGTTATACTCTAGATTTGAAGGTATTCAAATTTTCTTTCTTTATTGTCTAAACTTGATTAACTTTTAAATCCCTTGGAATTGCTTTATAAATGATTCATCAAGATCATTTAGACATTGAACACAATCTTCTATATGTTTTAATTACTATGACTTAGGGATTCTTAAATAATTTTTTACCAATGATTTAAATTCATTTTTAATGTGAACATAATCTTCTAGATATTTCACTTACTATTGATTGTGAGATTCATCAATTCTCCTCTTCAAAATAATGACACTTCAGATTTATCTATCTTGAATTGAATCCCAATCTAGAATCAATAAGATATACAACTTGAATCATGTCTTATATTTTTAATTATTTTAATCTTTATATCTTTAATTATTTTAACCTTTTCAGATATAATACATGAATGATTGCATTCTCATAAGCAAATATATCTATTCTTCTAGAGTATTCAATAATCTATATACTATCAGATTTGTACCCACACTAGTTTATTCTATCTTTATTGTTTAATTTTCTCACTTCTTGTGAGAATGTGAGTTCCTTAAATAAAACTTTTGATCTACTGATCAATGTCATGGGAAGGCAATTTCTATTACAAATCAAACAAGATTCATGTATCATCATCACCCAGTGCCTATACTGGGCACATAAATCTAATTTTACAAAAAGGGATCTTGAGGTATCTGTATATATATAAAACTTCAGTATATAAGTGGTACATCTAACAACAACTATAAAAATTCAGATCATGTAAGAACTACGAAGTCATCTTTTCCCTATACAGCTCCAAGGATGTTGGAACTCTGGTGCTTGTGAGATCATATATTCTGTAGAACTGCCTCAAGGCAAACTCTTGAAACAATCTACTGATCAATGTCATCGGAAGGCAATGTCGGACTCTTGGAACACATTTCCATCTTATGAAGCTCCATTAACCGAACCTCCGGGTTACAAAGCCCTAAAGATTTGAGGAAGAAAAAGTTGGCTAATGTTTGGTTCTTGTAACTGCTATTACAAGAAACCATATTTTAAGTTACCTGAGCATTTGGGAATGTCCCAGACTGCTATGGACTTTTGGGAACAACGAGGATCGCATAAAGCACGGTTGTCCTCGTGATATACATTCATTGCAAGCATCCAAGATCCGATGCTTACATCTTCATTGTTAAACATCCTCAGGCTGAAAGGAAAAGAGTCCGATAACGAATGAGATTTGTACATCCAAATCTACAAGTTAAGGTATATCAAGAAAAGCATTTTAAACCTGCCATCACGAGCTGCTGCAAGTGAAGCCACTATCTCGGTTGAAAGAACGTATATCGGTCCATAAGCATGTAAGAAATATTCATTCCCAATCAAATTACCCTGTTTCTCGTACCTGGAAAATCAAATAATCAAATATCTGTCACCAACACCGATAGAATCACAGTCGCTAGTGAAGAGAGAAGGCTATTTAATACCATTTTAGTTTAGGATCAGTTATAACTGGTCCTTTCTTCATACAGCCAATGTATGTCTGTGAATGAAGTCTTTCCTTAGCAAGAAGCGTCCCAAGTCTATCTGAACAGCAACGACAACAAAAAGTAATTTGAATACAATTGTGATGCAGATGGAAACAGCCTGAAGTACTCTAAAATTACCTGGTCTCAAATAAATATCATCGTCAGCTTTGACATAGTAATCAGCTTCAAAGAGTTTATAAGCTGCTTTGAAGAAAGCCAACCTATAAAGAGGAGACAATCATTGATGAAATGAAAGAAAAAAAAAAAAAAAAAACAGAGATCAGCAACCAAAGTCAGGAACTTTTTTTGAATTTTACGTTTTATACGGAAGTCGTAGATATTCTTCCTTAACATCAAGAAGCACAAAATCTCTGTATTTTTCAATCTCCTTCTCAAGCTCAGACATCTTCTCTGCATCTTTTGATCTTCCAGTGACAAATCTAAAAGCTAATCCAGTCGCTTGTTCCAACCTGATTTCCAGTCAACAAACAACACAACATCGGATTCAAATCCAAAATACGCAGATGCAAACAGAGCCAAATGAGAGTAATGTCAGTAAATCTGCATTGGCTTGTCGTGCATTTTCTGCATGAGCACAAAATACCGATAAATCGAACTCCGAAGATAGCTAAAAGTAACCAAATTGACGTCAAAAGGTTAAGACTTTGGAGGTGAAAATAACCCATGATGCCATGTTTTAAATCTTATCTAAAAGTACGGTCTTTTAAGATTCAAGAGGTAACACTACAGCTTATTCATTAAAGAACAAGATCAAGAATTAGAAGAGTTTCTCAATCAGCTGCGAACACTAAACTATAAATACGGTTGAATCTCACTTATTAAAGTTACCAGAATTTCAGAATTTGAAGCAATGTATCATTATAAGATTTACCTTAGAAGAGCATCAGGATCAGAAGGAAACCAAGTGCTTCTCAAAGCGGCACGACGATCAGTGGAATCGAAACTAGTTTGGATCCCGACGAACCCTAAAAGCTTTCGTCTTTCGGGCAATACGCCGCCGTTACCACCGTCTCCTCCGAGCTTTCTAGAACCAGACACTCGGGAAGTGTCTTTAGATCCGCCGCATCGATAAACGGAAGTAGGTCCTCCGGAGGAAGTGATTGCAAAGATAGTTCCGGCAACTCCGATGAAAACAGAGACGAGGGAGAAGAATATGATGACGAGATGAATGCGAGACGAAGCAGGAGAAGAAGATGAGTTGGGTTTATGGCTCTTTGAGGGTTTGCTGTAGTAGGAAGGAGTTGCAGATGCGGAGGAAGAGGATGCGGTGGAGAGGCGGTGGGAAAAGAGTGGCATTATTGTTAATCTGAGGATGGTATAAGGGCAAGTTTGGGTTTTAAGATAAATTGGGAGGTTTTTTTAGATCTGTGCATTTGCTTTAGTGACGGTGGTGAAGTGTGGCTTCTGATTGCGAATCTAATTATTTTCCACTTTTTGTAGTGTTTTGTAAATTCTCTAACACGAAAATCTATTAGTTATGTAATAATTATTTTTAGCAGAGAACGAGAAAGAAAAAGAGAGCAATGAATGCATTCACATGAATTTGGACTCTCTCTCTCTCATTTTTTCTCTCTAAATTCTCTCACTTTTCTAATCTAAACTACCCGGATCTGAGTGCTTTTTAGCCGGTTGCCAGCGTAAATCTGACGCCGGTACCGTACTATTTATATTATCTCGGATTTTGTTTTTGTTCTGTATTTATATTTCCGTTAGTCGGAAGGTGTTTTCCGAATTTTTCTTTTTTTGGCCTTTTGCATGTTTTTCAAATCTTCAATTGATGAGGATTAATTTCTCAAGGTTGCTTGATTCTCGATTTTTCTGGTTTTGCTTGATTTCTCTTTCATAAGAGATGAATTCTTCGGTTTTCCGATGTAAATCTTAGTTATATATTATCAAGTTTCTCTTAGATATTGAAATCGAGTTGGTTGGATCTGAGTGTTTGTTTTAGTTCAAAATAAGTAGATGTTGGGGTCTCTTAGGAAGTATATCTTATGAGGTGTCTCAACAAATGTTCTGTTTCTAAAGCCTTCGCCGTTTCCAGTTTTAAATTACTCCAGTGAAATTTTCATGAATCATCAATTGCTTTTGGCGATTGTTATGCAAAAGGAACAAATACAAGTTCTATGTTGAAATGTCAAAGGAATTATTGGCGATTTGGAGCCTTGTCGACGGCGAGGATCCGGTGATGTAGCTCAGATGCGGCGACATTTTCAACAGCTTGCCACATCGTCACACGTGTCTTTGAGTTGTCACGATTAGGTTTTCATTAATGACTCACGTGTAACTAGCCCATTAGTGATATATTTATAATATTTTTAGTTTATTAGACTCAATTGGGCTTTGTACATGTCTTTACCCTTTATGGGTTTTAATGCAAATCGACAACCAAAAAAAAAATGCATTCACATGACCATTTATGAGATTCAGTTGCCCCAAAATGTTATAGAAATACTACAAAATTAAATGTGACACAAATAAGCTAACATATGGAACAATACAAAAACTAGCAAACCAAATATCTACGGAAGAAAGAAAGTCTCACTTGCCAAAATAAAATATAGGTATCCTAGTAAAAAATTGGCCATTGAAATCCATTTGGTTCAATAGATGATCTCACTTACCAAAATTAGGTATCCTAGTAAAGATTTGGACGTTGAAATCCATTTGGTTTAATGGATGATCACGTTTCAATTAATGACTTTACACAGATCCTGCAGACGAAGATATGTCAAATGGGTTTCTTTATCTTACTACTAGTAATAAATCAAATAAAAAATTATTATTCAAACAACTTGAACTGAATAACACGTATATTTGCTATGTTTTTTTTTCATCTAACAATTGTCATCAACTTTCCAAAGAAATCGACAATAATGTTTATTATTAGTCCAAAATCGTAATATCCGAGAAATGAAAAAAAAGACATTTCAAGTATGAATAAAAAGATAAAAAAATACTTACTAAAAAGCTTGAAATAAGTTTAGAAAGAGTAAAAAATCTTATAAAGAACATTCTTTTTTTACAAATAATAGAGGAGTGAGCAATTTATATGCTCACTTGTTAATATTTACACACATTCTATTAATCTTTAGAGTTATCTACAAGTAGATATTTCTCCGTACCTTGTGTGGAGTTCAATTATATATTTTTTTTAAATTGATAACATTAGTTTATTTATAAATTAAAAAAATTAGTATAATTATTCGAAACCAAAACTAATATATTTAAAAAATACAATTTGATGAGTATATTTTTTTTGTCACAAAAAAAAAAATTATTTATATCTTGTTTTCTAATATCTTTTATATTATACGATAAAAACTTATATATATGTTTTATTGTTTTGTTGCATTTATCAAATATGATGAATAATTCTCTTTTTTTGTGTGTGTAAATTGGAAGATTAAGATAAATAAAATTCAAAGTTTGCATTAAAAAAAATATAGCAATCCAAAACCAGAAGATCCTGTTTCATATCTATTTAACATTAATTAGTTTTTTTAATTTTTATTTCTGTTACCTATATTGTGGATTTTCAAATGTTTAATATCTTTAATTGTGATATATATTAGGGCATATCTTTCAAAGGAGAGCTCAAATCATACTTTTGTGATGTTACATTTGCATAGATATATATGTGATTAAACCAAATTGACCTTAATTTTAATATACCCTGACTCAAACATTATGATCATGTTATTATTATTTCTTTATATTTTATTTCTTTGATATAATAATTGGCTGGCTCTCTGCAATTTTACGGTTTTTTGGTCTTGTGAAGCTTTGTAAGCCAAGCACCAACATCCACAGTAATTGGGATGAACTTAGGACTTGGATTTTTGTTTCAATTCTTACCTTGAGGAGAAAGGAACCAGAGCTAGAAGAAACAAAATCTTAATGCCGAATCCAAGAAGAGGTATGGGTACTCCAGCGAACAAACAACTTTCTCCTTCTTATACTCAACATTTCCATCATCAAATATTCTCCACTTCCATTGCTTGTTGATACAATCCTCAATTGCTTAAGGAATGTGTCTTAGAACAAATTGCTTTGAGCTTGATAGGATGGAAGAGAAGACTGGTGGTTTTATAGCCTTATTGATGCTTGATGACCTCAAACACCAAGGGTTAGACTCTTCAGAGCTCAAGAGCTAATCCTCACAAGAGGTTAGGAGACTCAACACGAAATTCTATAAGGTTGAATCCTCAAAACACTTAAAGAAAATCGCAGGAACAGTTTGTAATGCAAAGAGACACTTTCTTTGAAAACAAATAACTTCTTTTTTTATTATAAATTGGGTGAATGAAAATACATGAGGTAAGGAGCTTATATAATGCTCAATGATAATGAAATAAAACGTTAATAAAGTAAAAGAAAGCATAAAATATGGGATTGTCTTCTTGGCTTCATTCTCATAGCCGTTAGGCTTAAGAAGTGATAATGCTTGAATGGGGCGGTCAAAGGGGGATCTTGGGGTCTTGAGGTCGAAATGAATGTGTATGATCATGTAGCTTGACTGAGGGATCAAGAGTAATGATATGATGTAGTCTTTGGTCGTCCTTGCCTTCTTTACTCCTTGAATCAACAAAAAATGGTTCTATCTTTAATAAGTGGCTCTTCTTTGATATCTTCTTGGTTTGGGGCGGTTCAGAGGTTGATTTTCTGGTCTTGAACATCTAGAAATATGTCTTGGTGGTCGGATATGATGGTGGGGTGAATAAAATGTCATATGATCCCTTGTTTCCTTAACTAGCTCCAATGTTGCTCCTTTTGGTGGTTTAGAGAGATTTGGTGGTTCTGGCTTGATTTGAATGAGATGACTCCGGTTTGTAGCTTCCTTATCTTCATTATTATCTTCTAAATGCTCTAAAATATAAGGTAAGGTCGTGCTTTCCTCATATAACTCGTCATATGTGTATGTAGGTCCAAAAAGATGTCTTGGCGATTTAGATGGAATAACTTCAGAATTAGCTCGGACCGGTTGGGATTTGGCTCGACCATTTGACTCCTTGTGATGTCTAGAACGACGGCGTATGGTGGTTTGGTCCTGAACAGCTCCAAGCTCAGCTACAAGCTCTCCTTTCTCCACGGGTACAAGTTGTTCTGCACCATCTTTAGCTCCAAGGCTCCACTTCTTGGTTGTTCTAAGTGCATTGGACTTGAGTCTTACATCACTTGTAATCGCCTACGAAGATCTCTGAAATTAGGTAGTAAACTTCACTACAACACATAACATAGCAATGGATTTTAGAACCAAATCAAATCATCAATAGTGTTCAGTATGGTATGTTTAACTGTGTCTTATATTGGGAGAAGGATCTGAAGTAGCAGTTTGTGGCTATCTCAATCACCCAAACTTACTCTAGTCATTGTAGTAAGGGTTTTTGTCAATCCATATGTCTAAGATGAATACACTAGGAATGAAATAGGAACTCTAAGTAATGCAGGCATAAAAGAGATTGTTTGAAACTATCTAACTAGTAAACCAATGGATAAATAGAACTATCAATAGCAATGATTAGGCAATGATTCAGCAAACAAAACAGAGTACTAAGCAAATTCAAACTTCAATTAATAAAAGCTAGGATCCTAGATGTGGTTATGGAGTTTGGGGGATTCAAACACAAGACTAAGGTTTTATCAAACTCATTAACAATGCAAACAAGCAAATAATGTTATTTCCTAGGCATAAGATTCAACAATCAAGCAAGCTAAACCCAATCTCTTGGTGAATAACGCTTTGCTAAAACATCCTAACAAGAACTAATTTTCATTAGTGCTAAGATCAATAGCAATCAATCTAAACCAATCCTATTCAAGCCAAAATACTTCTTAGACAGTCAATCTCTTGAGCTAAGACAAGTAAATCCTCTAAAATACAAGATCAGCATTTCATCAAACACTTGGTGGGCATAAGAGAAAGCCTAAATGTAGATTCATGATATGAAAACAAATTTAGCTTAACAACAATCTAATAGAGAGGAATCTATGATATTAAACACTAACAAACCTTAATCAAGCATTTAATTCCCTCAAATCTACCACATCTAAGCTCCTAAAGGAAACTACTCACTAATCATCATCAAAACCATCAAATCCACAAAGATTAATGGGTTAAACATGATTAGAAATGATAGATTCAATAGATAAATGCATAAACTAAGATTAAAAAGATAAACTTTGGTCTTACAAATCAAGAACAAAAGATATATCAGAACTAGAACAGAACTCTATAATATTTTTGGGTCCTTAAGTATTTATAGTGGAAAACATAAAACTCTAAAGGAGTGGTAAAA